AGAGAGAGAGAGGGAGAAAGACACAGAGAGGCACAGGGAGAGCGACTGCGAATTGAGAATGAGCGAGCAAAAGAGATTTAAAGATTCTTCGACAGCGAGCCGCGATCGGCAAGGAAGCACTTCGCGCGGCGACACGGGATGACACAGTCACGCGCATATGGCTGATCGTTAGACACGGGGCATCGGCCAATGTTTAAAGCTAGCTGAAGGAAACAGTCCACGAAGTTCACAAAGCGGTGCTGTCACATGCGCCGCAGACGTCTCACGCCGGCAGGCATACTGAAACACCGAAGACACGGCGGTGCAAGACCTGCGCCTCAGAAAGGCAGGCTGCTCGCGCCTTCACGCCATCCAAGTAGATTTGGCCGGCGTTCACTGCGTTGAGGGCGGCCTGGCGCGCCCCCCAGGAGGGCTAAGTTTGGTCTAAAGCTTTGTGAAGCAAAAATATAGGGTTTAGGGTGTAGGGTTTGGGGTTTGGGGTACTAGCTTGAACTTCGCATTGTCCCAGATAGAAAGTACCTGAGGTGCAGGTAGCTGCAGAGTCCGGAGAAAGGAGGTCAGAATGAGGTTCAGCCATGGCTAAGCCTCTCCTTCGGGAGTTGCCGTTGCTCCCCCCCAAAAAAAAGCAAAACACACACAGACACACACACACACACATCCATCACACACCAAACGTCAGAAATCGCTCCTCGCGTGTCTGAACCATCACCATACTCATACTCCAGTCCACCGCAGCTCTGACTTGAGATCGTTCTTTCGTTGGTCCAGTTGTTTAGTTGCAGGTTGGGGTGACATCAGTGGAGTTCACTTGCCACGGTACCTCGACTGCCACTAGTACTCACACTCATAGCAAGGGTTTAGAGGCAGCAAATGTTATATCTTCCAGCTTCGACTTCGGCTGCGCCCGTGTTAAATCTCGCCCAGTCTACGTAGACCTATATTCGCAATCCCATAGAACTTGCGGACCCAATCTCAGCAAGGATCGGGCGCTACAAAGCAACAACGACTCTTTTCAACTCTCGCCATCGGGCTGCAGCTCGGCAGGCACGATCCGCGAGGCTTTTCTCTGTTTAACGTCGCATCGTCTCCGATGTATCTGTATATGCACTCCTCGATCCGGTGTCAGGAAAAGCCTCGTAGTTCTCTGCGCTCCATCTTTGCCTCAGCTACTATCTGAGTCGGAGCTGCCGGAGCTTTCCCATCTTCGCTTCTTGCCGCGGGCAGCCAGCAGCCTTGGTCATGAGAGGCTCTGGTAGCTACTTGAATAGGGATCAGTATGCACACGACGGCCGCCAGTGGATTCCACCTCTGTTGAGTGATTTTGTGCTGCCCAGCATGTTGGATTTCGAGCCCTTCTATTTATGTGGGTTGGATCCTCGGCAAAATTAGAGAGTCTTATCCCCCCCTGACGGTGGCCTCGCATAAATCTGAACAAACCTGAAGCGGCCGCACTTACCATCGGGGAAACGGCACAAGTAGTGCTATAGTTTGCTGAACTGTCTGCTCTTCTAAGGTAAACTCGGCCGACGACTAGCTGTAGAGAGTGACAGTTCCATCAAACTTGCCTGGACCGCCTGGACCCTGCTGTGAAAATATCTGCTGCACTCATCATGTACACCCTTGAGGCAGACACCAGATGCTAAATTGCATGCAAGATTTTCCCAGCAAAGGCAAGCAACTTCATCACCTCCTTGGCGAGCTCTGGGTTCTCGTCCACCACCTGAGCTGCAATCACCATCTCAGAGCCGCACCACCGAAGGTCTCAGGGGTTTTGAGGCTTGACGCACAGACAAAAGCATGGAGCCGATTCCAACGAAGCAAACTGCAGGATGTGCAGCTCTCCTACCTGGCCGAGCTTGTCGCGCTGCCGACGGAGGACAGCGCAGTCGTTGGCCTGTGAGGATTTTCGGGCTACGATCACCAGTGGCAGCACGCACATGCCTTGCAGCCAGCGGAGGAGCACCAAGACTTAGACCACTTTAGACCGTGTGCCGTGATCAGAGCAATTGCCACGCTTGCACCACACATGCCAGATCGCCGGTACCCAGTTGGGATATGTCGTTACACTCAAGATAGGTGCAATAAACCCATACACACACACAAACATACATACATACATACATACATACATACATATATATATATATGTATGTACATACACACACATACATACAAACAAAGGCGTGTACGCATGCATGCATGCACGTGCATATGATTATTTACTCGCCTGCCTATCTCTCTATGTATGTTTTACCTGCTTCTGCGTGTAGTCACCATACATACATACATAATTCTATATATACATACATCACATATATATATATACACATATATATATATATGTATATATATATACATATATATATATAATAGTATCATCGACTTCTACCTGCTTTTTTCATAGTCTGGGCTCGGGGGAGGCCTTGACCATCTCCCAGCAGGCCAACTCGAGTCGCCCGCCGCTTCCGAAGACCTGCCGAGGCGCGTCGCTCCTTTGAGGGCTCCTTTAAGGGATATTTTAAAGGGGCTGTTTTCAGGGCTCCCGGGATTCAAGGGATCCTTGAAGGCATCCACAAAGGTTCTGTGAGGAACTGTAGAGCTTTGCTGTTTTACTACAAGGGGTCTTTCCAGGCCAACAGCGATTGGGCATGAGTCTCCTTGAGCTGTGTTCCGCTCGTTCCAAGAGCTGGATTGTCGAGCTTGTTTTACCGGTGCAGGCTCAGGCCGAGGACTTAAACAAGAACCAAGGGGCTGTGTATAGGAATGGAACATGATTTGCGCTAGGCATAAGTTGGCCATCCGGGTCGCTTTCCTGCATGCCCTGCCCAGTGGCAGTGCCGCCTACCGTCCCGAATCCTTCAGACAGCCTATCCGTTTCCACCCCGCCTGACCCAGAAAGGCCAGGACCCGCTGCTTCCTGGATGATGCAGCAGCTAAGGAAGGGGATGTGTGATTTGTTCACCCCAGCTTCAAGACCAAGAGGCTAAAGGGTTTGGATAACTGAGTCTGCAGCCGCAGCTAAGCAGCTAAGCGATCATCTGCAGTTTTTGGAGATCCCGGTGGCACATTCTGGAACAATGCTTATGGCTTACATCTGCATCCCATATCCAGAGGCCACCGAGTTGCGACAGCATCGTCACTAACTCGGCTTCCACCGTGTCCACAAGGTCCTGAGTTGAGACGGACTGACACATAGTGGGTTTGAACATTTGGAGGCGAGATCTGTGCCTGAAACCGCCAGCTACATCCAATCAGGCCACTGTAAACATGAGCAACCAAAACAACGGCTCATGCTTTTGGCTGGTTTACTTCCGGTGTTGTTGAGCCCTCTTTGCGATGACCCGAAGATAGTCAGGGTCCTTCAGGCAGAACTGGTCGGCCAGCTTCCGCACAGCGAAGGCGAACGTTGCGTCTCCGCCTCAGAGCAATGTCAGATCTTCAGCCCACGTTCTATCCAGAATAAGACCTCCTGAAAGCAAATCCCGGCGTCGCATCTGTGATGTGATGAAAGCTCTGCCACACCAGGCCTTACCAATGGGGGTCGCATTATTGACTATAGTCTCTAGTCACTAGCCATAATCATGTCATGAGAACAGTAGAAATGACAAGCAATAATCATAATGACTCTGGTTGCTAAGCGGTTGCTTGCAAATCAACAGCTGCGTCCAGGTACCGGAGAAGAAGCGGCTGGACATGAGGTAGCACAGCACCGCATCAAGGGAGTTGCGCTGGATGTCGGGGGTCCTTGTGTTATCCCCTTCCAGTCAGCCCTTCGACATCATGTGGGATCCGGAGTTAGTCTGCTTTCCGGACCCTTACGTCAGGAAACTCTTGGTGAGCAGGTGCTTCATGAGCAGGTGCCTTCAGCGAGCTCAAGTTGTGATGGGACAGTCACTCGCACATCTGATCCCTGAACGGCCAGGACTCAGCAAAGAAGAGGTTGCCCGAAACCCCTACAGCCCTAAACCCCAATCTTCCCGAAACACCAGTCTTCCCGAAACTTCCCCAGATCCCCGAAAGAACCCGAAGCCGAAGATCCCCCAAGTCGAGGTCGAGGCTCATGCTCAGGTCGACCTCGTTCGTCTGACCTTCCCGCCACTTGGATGCCAGCATCTCACGGAAGTACTCCGAGCGCTCGCTGAGAATACCTCTGGCGCTAGCTCTGGGGACACCATCAGCCCGATAAGGCTGAAAGGGGTTTGAAAAACAGGTAAGAAACCCCAAAACAAAATATCGGCTCTGAGTCTTTGGGATATCAAAGGCGAGCTACTAGCAGGATGGAACAGAGTATAGCAAAATGCGGCTGCGGTTTCAGATATGTGGCTCCATGCTCGCGAAGCCTCCTCTGCTGTATGGTGTCTATGCTTACTAGCACCTGAGCCTGGAGTCGTTCACCTCTGTAAGGAGTCAGGAGGAATCAGCAGATGGTCAAATGCATATCTGCTGCTGACAATCATAAGGCCATAAGGTTGATGCGATGGCCAGGCTCATTGCGAGAAATCTGAATCTAGTACTGCTAACTTAGTACTGCGTTATGCTTGCTTTTGGGCCTGCATGCGGCTGCTGTTTAAGACGCGAGGCTCCATGCTCACACGAAGCATGCTCTTTTTGGCGTGTATGCTTACTGCTGTCTGAACCTCAGCAAACGTTTGAGATTCGAGGTTGTGGCTCTCAGGAAGACCCTCGGCACGGATTCCGCCCCGACGGCCGGCAGGCTCGCTACTAGTACTTCGAGTCATGCAAAAACGTCCGTCTTCGTGGAACCCTGAGCCCTGGACAAGGCCCCGAAGCCTCAAAGAAAGCACCGTCCTTTGAGGAGAGGCTCGCTTGTCAAAGAGCAGCGGAGGCCCTTCAGAGAGTCGTATCCTAGGGTTCCAGGAGACGGTCCAAGAAAGCTTTCAAGGCTGGGAAGCTTCGGGAGCTTCAGGCTCAAGGCGTTTCAGCCGCGCTCCCAAACAGCCGGGCCACGTCACGAAGGCCGCCTCCTGCCTTAGTGCTGATAAGGATTGAGGAGGCTGAGGGAAAATTGGCAAGATGAAGGTGCTGACGATGTGGCGGTCATGGATGCTGTGACGATGATTGCGCGGAAGATGGACCAATAATCATGGTATGGCTCATCGTAGATTTAATTGTGGTGCCTCTGGAGTCTGCATATTCTACAAGCTACGAGACTTACAAAGATAAGGTTGAATAATTATCATTATGTTGCAAGTCTGAAGGAAATTCCAAAATCCGTCCGGTGGCTGCAAGTTTGCACCAAGTCGCGTGAAGTCTAGCGGCTGTCCCCGGCACGGGGCATCGGTGAATGGCAGCTCTACGTGTCCTCAGCCATACGGTCCGATAAGCCTTATGTTTGGCCTTATGTCTTGGAACACCATTTGGAGCCGACCCTGAAGCCAAGAGGCAGGTCCCAGAGTCCTAGAGAGCTACGTGATGTGAGGGAAAGCCTTTATGGTCTTTGAGAACTGGATATCTGATTTCTGGCTGGCTTGGTGGACAATAGACGAAAGTTTTACCGTGGCCCGAATAGATTTCAGTGATCTCTGAAGTCGAGAACTAGTTGTAAATTGGAGCCAAGTGTCCCTGCAGACGCAGGCCGCCAGCCTGCCAGGGAGATTTACGCCCTCGCCAGCACTCGATAGAAAGGCGGCTTCGTTTGTACACGAGGCTTTTCATGAGCGATTGGGTGGTGATGGTTGGGTAGGTGTTTCAAAGGATCTACTATAGTATTAGACTTCAGATAAACATAATGACCGCTGGGGTCGCTGGAGCCATCGAGGGCTTTTACTCCAGATCCCCGGGCCTTCAGCCAGCCGGGCTCGCGCGTGATCCGGTCCAGGCTCAAGAAGTTACCTTGGCTATGCAATTGCATGTCCATTGCATCCGATGCATCCTCCGAACGCAACATGTCTGTGCTCGTCGAACGCCTATGCCGAGTTTACAGTTGATTCCGTAAAGAAGTTGCTTTAACAGGCCATTGCAAACCCTATTTACCTCTGGGCATCCGGAGCGCACCATCCCTGGTCCGAGACTTTGTTGGTGAAGATGAAGACCCCGCCCTCACGGCGGAAGTTCCAGAGCTCATCGAGGTACTCGTACAGCCTTCGGCTTTGCAGAACTGCCGCCGATGTCCCGGCTCGGAAGTATAGCCATGTTAAAACCTCCCTTCTGATCTAGCATTGCCTTTCGATTCCACGCTGTAACGTACAAATCGAAGCAATTTCAAGCTCAAGCCAGGTGCGATGGGGTGGGTATGGGTGTGTAACGTATGCATACATGTATGTATCCATGTAGGTGTGCATGTATCCTTCCACCCAAACGGAGTCCAAATCCGGCCCAGGCACATCGAGATCTCGAAGCGCGCCTTGCAAGCCCAGTCGATCTTTGCCAAGGCAGGAGGCGGGAGGATCTCGATGTAGGCACTGATGCTGATCGCCTCCCAGTCGCCATGCCCTGCGCCGGTCGGCTTCCCTCGCAATTAAGGAGGTTTCTTCCTATGCATCTTCAAGCCATTCCAACCACAGTGATGGCTCTAGGAGGAAATAGACGAATGTTGCAAATGCTCACTGACCGCCCTGTGGGAAAGTGTGGTTCGCTCGGGGAAAAGCTCGACAAGAGCGACATTTCCCGAAGGTCAAACAAACTGTAGGGAAAACTACCCCAAACCGTGAATCCATGGACTTGAAGAAACTTGCACCGACGCACTCTGAAAAGGCCTGCAAGGCAATCTTCTCGACCCCGAATCTTCCTGTCAGACGGCCTGAAGCCCTCAGTACTCAATTCCACGATTCGCCGGAATCAGAATTCACAGCGAAAGTTTCGAATTCAGGAAACGACCTAGATGGTTATCATCGGTATCATTGCAATAGCGGCGGCTCCATTTCTGCTACTTCATCCACCACCTGCTCCTATGCAAGCATGCCACGGTCGACCGTCCTCTTGGGTAGACGGACAGCCGAAACCGGAAGGAGTGCTCCGGGCCCTGAATCTGCGAGTAGATGTACCTCAGCTCTCGCACCCGGCTCCAAGCTCAATCGGGCTCAAGAATTAAGGGCTCTGAGCCGCCCTTACTACAGCAACTCCCACTGCAGCGGGCAACACGTAGCTTCAGACGTCAATTCCGAATAACGCCCGGGTCTACTCTGAAGCAGAGACGAGGTGCTCACCCGGCGGCAGCTTCAGGTCTTGGTCACTTAGGCGGAAGTCCACCGTGTACCAGTGCGCAGAAGCCTTCAGGGCACCCTGCGAAATCCTTGATCTGTCAGTCGCGGTCACAATGCCTGCACTCTTAATTCATGTGCGGCTGCACGCTGCAATCGATCCTTTACCAGTGGCTGCACAAGGCAAGGCAGGAAAGGGGTGTCTCTCGCAGTCAAAGCTTTCAGCTGCTTCCATGACAGGAACTTGCTGCGTGTACACACCTTGGACCTGGCCTGGCTCGCTGCCGGCATCGACGCCAGAGCTGCCATGAGGCAAATGCCATGCGAATTATTCAAGAGGAGAGGTGTTGAGTAGCTGGGTCTGCCGAGTGGGTGGTGGTATCGGTGGAAGGATTCTGCGCGTTGCTCTGCACCAAGCTTGGGGTCGAGTGGAGGCCCTGACTGGACTCTGATGTTCAACTTCCATCAACTTGTGCCGTACACGGTCACTCTGCCTGTGCATCGTGGCTTCGTGCAAACAGCATGGCAAAACGGCGACGGACAGAGATTAGAGCGAAGCCATGCTGCACGAGAGTTTGGAGCCTTGCAGGGAAGACCCGCTTCGCATCCATGACAAACCTGCGCTGGCATCAACAACACCCGACTCCGATTCACGCATGCCTCTGCTTGCGCGCTGGTTTGGAACCTCACGCCATCGAGTCACGCAGGTGCAGAGTTGGGACTGGCAAGCGAACAGCAGTGATGAGTCTGAGCCGCGGCCTACTGCCGGCCGGGATTGTCTTGCAAACATGTTCATGGTCGAGAACTTCGAAATTCAGGTTTTGCTTCCCACCCCGCTGCAACAAGAGGATAACCTGGGAACCCTCCCTGATCCTGCACGGGATTGGCCGGAGCTCCGTAGGTTCTTCAGCACAAGGCCCAGGCTTCACCCAAGCTGTTTCCTTCCTGCGCGCTTCCACTGGCGGCACCCAGCAGGAGGTCACCTCGCCAGCACGCACAAAGGCGAAAGTGTGGGAAGTGTCACATGCATCACTTTATGCAACAATCAAGTTTTGATTCAAGAAGCCACACTGCCACTAATGTGCCTGTTGATGCCACTTGCTTGTCTCATCGATTGCTTGTCCGTCGGCTTGCATCGCGTTCCAGCGTTTAGCGTTGCAGCATTGAGGCTTATGGGCGTCAGGCAAGAAGTACCGGAAACTCATCCTTCCCTGGATGTGGCTGATTCTGTTTCTTCTACTTGCCTGGACTTGCTTCGTGTCAGCGAAGTTGTTTCGGTGATCCTTCCTGGATTTCCGATCTTTGCTGTAGCACTCCGGCCGGGACACTCCTGCCGACGGATCCTAGCTGGGACTTTCATTTTGGACCTGGCACTGAAGGCCAATGCCAAGAGAACACTGCTTCTTGGACGGCCATTGACGAATCGAGGCACGCGTGATGTCTGGAGATGTTGCTGAACCTGTCAACAGGCACGTTTCCTGATCTGTCTGGACCCAGCGATCCAAGGCACTGGCCTCACCGAACTGAGAGAACATGCTCTTCAGCGACATCCGGCCTGAACAAGAAGTTGGTCCAAAGCGACCACAGCAAAGCTGCGTAAATTCGCTGCTTCTGTGATAAACTGTGTGTACAAAATACTGGATTGTACATGCGTCGGTAGATGTATATGTATCTAGGCATAGAAAACACACCCCACAACTGGATTAAGTAATTATCAGTATCATTGACAATATCTACCAGGTAATCTACCAGCTTTTCATCTGAACTGGCTCATCGGTATGACAGTGACGATGGTTATCCTTACTTTCTTGCCTAATTACTTCTGACCCCCCACAGGCGGCTGCAAGCATTGCTTTATGCGCTCCTGCATTCGGTGGCTGTTTGCGCTGCAGGGATTTTGCGAACACACTGACCCCAAGAGTTCCTGGATGTTCCGCATGCCTCCGTTGCCTCAGGCCTACATTGCACAACTGTTGCCAGGCTCTGAGCTCTGCACTCGAAAACTCGGTGATGCCAGCAGTCAGATTCCTCGGAGCTTTCCGCTAGATCTCCCAGACTTGGCCTGACCCTCATCCCACTACTCCCCGAGCTTCAGAAATGACGATGCGAGGCTTCAAGCTTGAGGCCTAGGTCAGAGAACTCTGTGCACAAGATTCCACGCCCTCGCAGCAGTGCCTCTTAAACTTCAGGTGCTCTGAATTATCAACAGCAGCTATAGCCATAGATTCGTGTTAGCCTGCCTTTCAGTTGAAAGTTCTGAAACGAACGCAACTTCGGCCAGGGTGCAGCGCCAGGCGAGCCATGGCTCTGCAGCGTAGGCCCAGCGAGAGCCGAGACCGGGGATCCTGCGCCCTGGTCTCCCCTACGAGATCCCCTCTATAAGACTCTCTAAACTAAAGAGCTACTGCTAGAAATCTTCACGTCCGTCCTTATCTATCAGAATCTATCAATGCAGAGATCTCTGGGGTATCATGGCTCTGGGGCAGCAGTGGGCAAGGCTTCGGGGAGCCCGCAGTCACAGTCAATTGGATGTTGGCTTTGACGTTCTGCTGAGTCTTTTTCGGTATCAAGGCCGGTTCCATATTATTGCTGCAGAGCTGCTCTTGTCGACTAGGACTGAATCCGGCAACCCTACCACACCATCGTTGTCAAGGGTTTGCGTACATATGGATGAGGCTCCCCTTTGAGCAGCTTAATGGCCTGCTTCGGAGCTGCCGTGTCAACTGTCATCTGTCATGCAAGATGCATCAAGCCAAGCTACTCCTTGCCTCAAGCCTCATGACATGTCTCAGAGGACCCAAGGCGGCAAGCCCAGAGTACGAAATCAAGCCGATTCGAGGTTATAATCCGAACTTCCTGTTGCCTCGACGAAACGGATGTGTAAAGCATGACTAATGGCACTAGGTAAGCTGGGGAGCATGCTCTGTCTCTCTCTCTCTCTCTACATTGCGCAGCAGACTCGGCATGATCGGTCTTCCTGTTGCAGCATTTTTCTTGAGGAGTCAAAACGATGGGCGTGATGGGATCATCCTGGACCAACCTTGTGTGAAGCTGACAAGGAAGTTGCATTCCGAGTCGAGCATTGCAGCACACCCTGCACGATGTGCTCAAGGCTTGAACCTCCTTCTGCACCTGTACATGTCGGCTCCTGCCAACACTGCATGCCTACACGACGTCAATCGTGAAACGCTCACGAAGATGCTCTTATGCACTGATAGGAGCAAGCCAGAGATCTCAACCCAGCTTGCAGCACTTTGTGCAAGCCCAGGCTTCGGCCAAGACCTGAAAACGAAGCTCAAATTAAGTGATGAAAGTAGACTGTCCTGTTGGCGCCTTTCCCGAACGATGCAAAGTGGTCGAGCTCCGTTAAATGCTTCCAACATCGGGATGACCCTTGCCTGTGACAGACCCCAGCCTAATCCCAGGTTTAACGAGGCAGCACGAGTGTCCGGAGGATCTTACAAGTCGGCCTTGCCTCATGTGCAGCCATGCCTGGCCCGAGTCGAGCCCATGCACCCTCCCGAAACACAATAAAAGTTTCAAACCTCCGAACTCGAACAAGAACGCGGAGATAAATTTGATTCACAGCCTGACGAGCTTATTGACGACCGAGGGCTGGACGCTGCGCATCAATACCGTGCAACAGAGCCTGTTGCAACGATGGAAACCAATAGTTCCAAAAGACAAGCAGTGCGCACCAGATGACTGAGTAATATGCGTGGTAGCGCAATGGTCTACATCTACGGTGTTGGCAGTGCTGTGCAAATCATGCAGGAACTTCCGGTGGTCCGACTTCGGCTTTCAGGTACGTCGTCTCATCGTCTCATCGCGTCTCCAAGTGAAGGGAACTGTTGATATGGATGCACGGCTTGCCCATTCACGGGCCAGACGAGTTCTCTCTCCAGTTCCGTGCTCGACCTCCCTAAAAGCAGGTGGTCACATCAATCTTGCCGTCATTTCTGTCACAGTTCTTGCTCTTCTTACTTGGTCGTGCTTGTTCTCCACACTCTGCCCCAGTCTTTGCAAGGGCCTCCAGGACGCATGGAGCTCTCAGCGTAGCGCACGACGCTGTCCCACCTGATCCACTTCTGCAGCATCTCTGGTGACTCGATGGACTACCGGTTGCCTTTTGTGATGCGAGGTACGTAGCAGCCTGGGGCCTAGGGCCTGTGGGCTGGTAAAGCGGCTCACCCCATGGCTTACCAAGCTGATGCAGGGCGCAATCTCAATTGAGGCTCCGACTGTTGAGGGAGGTGGCTCCTAGCCATTCGCCCCTGCGCCTCGCTCATGGGTGTGGGGGCACGGAGTTCAGATCTCGAAACCTGCGCGATTACACTCGCTTTGATGAGCAGAATGAGCCTTCGACCAGTCTTGTATGCTGGCTTTGTGGCCAGGCATCAACTTCTGTCATCTGCCCCCTAACAGTAAGTTCACCTCACGTCCTCGGCTAAGTCGGGAACCGAGATGGGCAGCATGAGGTTGCCACCATGCTCCACCAGGCTGAGGTACAAGTCCTGCGAAGTTTGATCCCTGTTGCTTGATCAGTTCCTGACGCCTTTCGTGTATTCTGTACATAGCATCGCGAGTCAAACTGTTTCAGTTAGTCAGGCTCTCAATACTCCCTTTTTTGAATATTGCTGTATCTGATACTGCCAACATTGCAGGATTGCCGGCACAAGCCTGTAACTATGACGACTACTCTTGTTCTTGTTATTGTCATTCAGTGCTCGCTCACATACTCACTCACTCACTCCCTCCCTTCCCTCCCCCTCTCCCCCTCCCTCCCCGTCCCTACCTCCCTCCCTCTCCCTCCCTCCCTCCCTCACTCACTACTGCCCCTACTGCTGTATGTTCGTCTGGAGCTCGACTAAAGACAGGAGTTCTCTTTTCTCGTAATTCTCAGCATCACCGTCATCCTTATCAGCATCATCAACATCATCAGCGACATCGAAATTATCGAAACAGTGGTCATCGTCATCATCAACATCACTGCATCGTAATTTTGCCTGTTGACGGCCTGCTTTGGCTGTCAGTGCTGGAGAACAGCACTGCATGCGGCAATCTCGAAAATATACGCCAAAGCAGCGACAGGTGACAGTAGTCAAGAAAGACTAGCGAGTACCGGATCTAATGGGAAATCTTAGCAGGTTCTTGAACATGTTAACCCAAAGATAGCGAAGTGGACTGGCAAGCCCAACGTCCAACCGATCTGCAAACGAACAGGCTACAAGATTGCCGGCAGGGTGAGGATCAATCCGGAAAGCGGCTTGCGAAGCCATCACCATTGCTGGTTTCCGCCTTTAGTTTGTAACAGTCTGTGTCGCATCGAAACATGTCAGACAGCATCCATGGCTCAGGTTAAGGACCGCATCCCCGGTGGAGAGAGATGGAGAGAGACAGAGGGACAGAGAGAGAGAGAGAGAGAGAGTGAGTGAGTGAGTGAGTGAGTGCGTGAGTGAGCGAGCGAGTGAGTGAGTGAGCGGCCAAGAAAGCAGGTCACGCGTTTTTGATTCTGCCGTCGGAAACGATTAAAGTTATTAAAGCCTGGAAGCTCATCCGTCCGACGCTACAGGGCTGAGCGGCCCAGCGCTATGGCTTCAGGACATGAGGAATCTGGGATACGAGTTGTCGAAGCGTAGGCCTTAGGCCGTACCGTGCAGCCCCGCACAAAAGAAGGATTCTGCACCGGCAGTGTGCGCTACTTCCACCATCGGAGCTGGAGGGCAAGAAAATGCGGACGCCGATGTCGAAGTTCGGCTTGTCCGTGGCCATGCACAAACGATTGCTAATTGCTAATTGCTGCTGCCGCTCATCTTCATGGTATGGCTTCACACCGATACTCTTTTTGCGGTTACGTGGCATGCTGGTAGCATTGAGCACTGCACAAGACCGCTGCCAAGACTACAAACAGCAGATATGATTGAAGTCGTACTGAGACCACCAGTACCAATAAAAGGTCGTGGTCGGAGGCGCCGACTGCTGGCCCTTAAGGCTAAACCACATACGAGCGCAACTCAGTCTCTGCCAGGTTGGGTCCCTGTCTCGAAGCCGGCGCCGCCCTTGGGCCAGGGCCTCGCCGGTTCCATGGACAAAATCCTGCAAAGTAAATCGACAATCGCCATGGTTTTCATTGTTTGTATATGGTCACGCAGGATTTTGTCCATGCAGCATCACTAGTGATCCCAGTGCGGCTATGGGCAGGACCCTATTTTTTGAGGTTGCGAGTATACTACGCGTCATTGACGCATGACGTTCAGGAAGACTTCTCGTAGTCGCTCTCGTCTGCAGACTCCGTCGAGTCGTAGCTGCGTGGGCAGAGGCTTTGACCTTCCGGGGTCGGACGAATACGAAAGATGGTTTCCCTTGAATTGCGTCTCTCCGTTCCAGATGTTGCATATATTCGGAACGATGTGTTCCCCAGGTGGGGCTCAGGTCAGGGATCATTGAAGGACTGTAGGCTGTGGTGCTGGTGTCGCCCCAACTCCTGAGAACACTTGGCCGGCACTGCCGCTATCTCCATGCATAGACTTCTGTCTGCGAATTGTTTGTGATTGGCAGCGCGGTGGTGTCTGAGACTTCAAAGTAAAATTGCAATCCTTCCCAAGCCAGATGCATGAAGAAAGCCATGGCCCGTCCAAGCCGTGAGTCCTGAACCATGAAAGAACCTGCAACGTGGAGGCACCAAGCTTGACAACCCTCAACCCCTAAACCCGCGGTGCCTCTTCGCCAGCGGAAGAATGCCATTGAAGCCATCCAGCCTACAGCGGCGGAGGCCAGGGCCACCAAGAAGTAGCTCCAAAAGGGCGAGCCTGGCATGGGAGACACAAACTTTTGGGGAAATGTTCATGACGGGATTCTGTCCGTTTTGCACGATAGTGCCGACATTCAGGTCCACCGGTCAGTTCTACCTCAAAGCAGAAGGCCGACAATCCCGAAAATGAGTGAAAATGAGGCTCGAAAGACCATGCGCCTTGCGTAGACAGCACAACTCGTGAGAAAAAATGTGGGCGATCTTCACCCCGCGGATGTATGCACATTGCAACAAGGTTGAGGACACATCACTAAGTTAAGCAGATGCTTTCTGTGCTAGAGACACGCCGGCCCCAGCACATGCTCAGCTCCGGCGCAGTCACCAACTGTTTCAAAGACCAGCGAGGGATGATGCCATTCGAGATTTTAAAACTCTAAGGGGGCCAACAAACATCTGGTCCACAGACAAGACATACCACCCGCCGCCCTAAGTGTTGACAAAACGGAGTGGCGAGGCGAAAGCTGCGGAAGGCAAAGCGATGGCTCGGTGCTACTCTTTACCACCTTCAGACACGGCAGCCTTCAGCCCAAGGGGCCCCTTCATGTGCAGACAAGTGAGCACTGGACAAAGCTGAAGCCTAGGTGCAGGCACAGAATTTAAAGTGTACTCCGACGCCGACGACGGAACAGCACTCGACGACTGGAGGACTCTCGGAATCCTGTGCCCTATGCCGTCTCAAGCGGCCCCCGTAAGCCCCTCCGCCTGGAGGGCGCAGCGGAGGCACCGAAGGACAAAGAGGAGGCCCAGGCACGGAGGTCACGAGCCGACCTTACCGTCTGCTTCTTTAAAGTGCTTTGGAGTTGGGTAAAACCTCTTGGAGCCCTGGAAGTAACAGTTTTCGAAGGATGAGGCCAAGAACCCTGGAACCCAAGAGCCCTCCCGTCCAACAAGTTCGCAGTCGCTCAGGGGGTCGGAAAAGCCCATCACTGATCCTCCCTGATCGTTGAGGACGTGCTCGATGCCTGGAGAGGTTGTCGGTTCTTCTGGTCGTGGTGGGATTTCCGTAAGCCCTCATGCTCGGCACTCTTATGAGGGCAGCTACATGGACAAGCTATGGCACAGAACTCGGAACTCCATGCATCGTGATTCCCAAATGTCTAGACTGCGCACAACCCATCACGACTTGAACGAAACATGCCCTCATGCATGAATCGTGGCAGACCTTGCTTATGATGCCCCCTTTCCACATACTTAGGAGTGTTGCAACCATCTACCTGAGATTCGCTGCGGAGGAGCATTCCTGGCTCAGGCCGAAAACCTCAGCAATGACGGCGCACGAGGCCGGATGCAAGTAAGCGTTGTCGTTTCTATGTTGCAACAAACTGCAACTGGTCAAACCGTTTAAACCTCTGTCGAGTTGTGCACCGTTTGCCTGTTTACAACAAGAAAGCAGGCACAGGATCACCCCAATTCTGGTCGGGCCTGCTTTGCCATTCAGGAAGCGGGTGAAGATGTTGGTAAAACGTACCTTGAAGACGAACAGCACACGAGGCAGGAGGGTCTCAACTCGCTCTTGTGTATAAGCAGCATTACGATGACATCCACGCTGGCACAAGCCGTAACAGACTCCATATAACGCGATCTGCCTGAGACAAAAAGGAAAGGCAATGGGTTCTAACAATGTAAGTGATGTCAGTGACAAGTACGAGGAACTTGGGTGAACGCGCCAAGAGCAGAACTGCACGTGCCGGAAGCAAACTTGTAGCTGCTTGGGCACCTGCTATGCCGTGCTGAGCGCCAAATCAATCTCTCCATCTCAAGCCAGTGCTGCTAGGCTTCACCATCGGTGCTCGGAGCAACGAAGCCACTGTTCACGATGCACTTGAAGTCACGGAAGTAGCTGTAAACGCCTTTGAAGACTTGGAGTGCAGACAACATCATGTTTCAGACGAAAGGCTAACCTTCTTGAACAACCCTGGAGTGAGTGTGCCAAGATCACAAGTCACAAGATTCCGACCCAGTAAATAAAAGAAAGCTGAAGCGTCCCTTGACCCCACAGACCATGCCAATTCTGCATGTCTAGCCCGTCGGCCAGGTCACGTTATTCAGCAAGACTCTGCAAAGCTGCATGTTGAGGTTCGTTGTTTGATTGGTAGTCAGATTGACTCTGAATCCTCAACATCTCGAACTGCTTACGCTCCATGAGGACTCATGAAATCCAAATCCGACGAAGGAAGGAAGCTGAGATCCGGGCCCATGCCCTGCGCTTCATGCGTCCGTACATGGGGAGCCACCTTTATCAGGGCTGCAACAGTTCAACAGTCTTCTTCATTCCCTGGGCCCCAGGTTTCGGAGGGGCTACCGCACACTTCCGATGCCACGCGACGCGCAGGAGAAACTCTACAGTGCCTTGTAGCCGGAAAAGCCCTTGTCGCCAAAGTTGGCCTTCAACGCCAGAGGGCAGAACTTCAAGTTTCACTCCCGCAAATGACCGACTTGTCGATTCTGGGCTGACGGCTAACGACTATTGCTTCTTAGGTCTTGCAGTTAAGGGAGGGTCTGCTTCAGAAATTCGACTCTAACGGCCTGATGCCTTCCGCATTGTTTTCGTTCCCAGAGTAGTGAGACTTCAGAGAGCATCACAAGATTCTCACCTGGTCGACATCATAGGGCAGCTCATTCTGGTAGAAGTACACAGCGCCGCCCTCGCCCATCCTCAAGCTTAGGCTGTCGCAGGCTATGCAAGGTGTCTGCCCATGCAGTTGAGCGCTACCACCCTGTGAGGCAGGCCATCTCAACACATATTGGACACTGCGACAAGAAGCTCTGGGAATAGGTCGTGCCTTGACTGTCCACTACCATTGCCGTTGTGCCGCCAACCACAGGCAGGAAACTAGTTTTCGCAATCCAAGCCATGAAACGTCAGATTTTGCAAGCGAGGCGAGGCGATCTAAAGATGTTTGGAGGCCTCAGACCTGAAAGCCCAACTGTAGGCTCAACCCGTCTGAATCCTTGGAGCCTTGCAGCCCCAAAACCCCAAAACATGCGAGATTCCGTCACCGAAATTGAACGAGTGGGACAGGTCCCCATTGAAATTGGCTATGCTTGTGGGGAGGCTGACAACTGACTAGACACTGACACTGAAACATGTAGCACCAAGAACTGCAACATAGAACACATCGGGGTCCAGACTGAACCCTTAATCCTACACCCTAAATCTCGTAGTCGTAAGCGAGGTCAAGGGGCCAGAGCGTGTTGTCCTCGAGAAAGTGTTCGACGGCTAACCTTTCCGGTGCGAGCTTCGCATGCTTTTGGTCTAGATGACTTCAAGCGAATTCGGAAACTCTGCAAGCCCCGCAGAACAGCCGAACTGTTTATGGGCTATTTGTGGATGGTATCTGGGCAATCGCACAGCCTGCACGCAAATTTGCAGTCCTAGTGCAGACCCAAGACGAGTGCAGCATGGATACCAAGCTTCATCAAGTTACTGCAATATATGCTGAAGCGCTCCATGATGCGCAGAGTCGTGGTTGAGCATCCGAGAGGCCCATAGATGGTGACCTGATCTCCGGAGACTTTCAGCCCGACCTGTCGTTGAAAGATGCGTGAACCATGATCACGGTTGAATCCAGGACGAGCAGGATTATGCAACACATGCACCGAAAACGACCTGTGAAAAGTCTGAGTCGTCTGTCTCAATACTGGTCCTGTGGACTGAACGAAATGTGCTGGAGCAGTCGAGAGTAGCCATACTAAGTTAGCAAGTTACGTACTACTCAGACTGCTGCTGAGACACCAGGGGATTGGATGCACGGGCATGGCTATGGGGTAGATCGGGTGCTTACTCATTGACTCTGGCAGAAGTCAGAGTAGCCCCACACATGGGAACTCAGGCAAAGCGACGGGCTCAATAAAAGCTATAGCTGAAGCCTGTGGTTATTGTGAATCGGGCCACCTCAATCCTGGAATCCTTGAAGCCGGCACGACAAAAACGAAAACGAAGCGAGGCTGCTGAAGCCAAAGGCAAGGTGCCGGAACTTGGACATCTGAACTCCAAGCACTAACAGCACCTCTGCAAAAAACGCCCGGGAAGGAGCCTTGGCCGGATAGTCGCCCGAAGCTACGAGATAGTACTCTTTCGCCTTGGGCACCTTCCAAGCTGGTCCGCTCTTGTTTTAGGCGAGTGGCCCGAGCCGGGAAGCCCATGCACACAAGCTGGTCTTATGCTGCCCGGGGAGGCAACAACCGAGGCAACCACCGCAAGAGCAGCGCAACAATAAGCAAAACGAAAGTAGCAAGAACGACGGCGACAACAAAGTGAGCGGAAACAGCAACACCTCCATCACCGACATAATCACAACCAGGAACAACGCAACAGAACTATGTACCAACTCGACGAAGGGGAGTGTTGTTGTTGCTGGCAATGATGAATGAAAGCGGCGATGACGGTGATGAGGATGAGGCTGAGGCTGAGGATAATGGTCATGACGGCAACGAGAACATCCACAGCAATATGGTGGATGGCAGGGATGCAAGCGCGACAGCAATGCTGAGCCTGACATCAGTCATGACGGCGAGAATGGCCATACAGCCCATACATTTAAGGAGCATTTCGTGACCATACAACTTGTGAAGACGAAGACGAAACCAGAAGCCTTGGAAAGGGTGCAACTTTGTCTCTTCCCGCTCGTAGATTCCGAAATGAGCCCAAAGTAAGAGCCCCACACGGTCTTCCATGAGTGCCGCAGAATTCTGCGCGTCCTTCTGCTCTCCTGGCTTCTTATAATGGGAGCTGTGGATCTTGGGAAATCGGGCTTCAGGTTTAGGGAGGTCAATGTTTAGGGTTTCCTGGTTGTTCGTGCTTTGGCTTGAGGCCCGATGACCTCTAACTCAAAGTGAATCCGTACTTCGGCGAGCTGCTAGCGCCCAAGCAGCACACGCGAAACAAAGCCTCACAACCCCCCACAATGTCTGAACTCATGGGCCGGCCCAGGCTTCCTGCGTTCGGATCTATCAGAGCGTGGTCAGCACGCCAGAGCCAGAGGTTGTCTCCGACAACCTTGGCCGTTGCGACAATGAACAAGCACTTCAAGGTCCAGGGCTTAGGTCCAGTACAGTCTAACTGTCTAATCATGTCCAATGCAGGAAGAGCACGAATTAGATCGAAACCTAAGCGTCAAGAGGATGACAAACAAACTAGTTACTAATGGTCCGGAGTCCACAAGGAAGTTGGCAACCGATGGTTCGGGCTTACGGTCACAGCCACTTTGGTGTTGAAGGCTTAGCACGAGTGCGGAGTCCGCCGCGGGACTGGAGCGCAACCCTAAATCCTAGCTACTAGTTGGATCTCGTGCCTGTGGTCGAGATACAAAGTTGCACCGTACTAGAGCAGATCACCTTGTCAAAGACTTTATGAAAGTTCTTGTAACTGGTGCGCCAAGGCCCCTGTACAAAACTCAACTACACATACAGTTTGGGGCTAAGGGTGGTGCGGGCCAAGCACACGGCTACACTATCGGATATCATATACTAAGAATTGCTAGCACGACCTCCTGCTCAGGCTAAGGCTCTGTCTCCTCAGTATTACACCTGCTGTCCCTGGCACACGTCATCCAAGTTCCTGCTACTGCGGTTTGCTCTGATCACAACTTCGCCAACCCACAGCAACTGTCAGCAAACGTGTAAGCTTTCTTTTGCTCCTTTAACGGCGTTGCCGATGTCGAAGGCTTCAGACACGTAAAACTCCTTTCGCTCTGCTCGGAGAAGTCGGCTCTGTCGCCACTCTAGTGGTGTTATTCTGCTCTTGTTACAGGCATACGCTAACGGCGGCAGTAGCAGCAGTAGTAGCAATAGCAGTAGTAGGAGTAGGAGTAGGAGGAG